CTTTCTTTTTGGCTCCATTTTGTGGTCAGTCGGTTGGTACTACCCAACTTTTCACTTTTAATCTCGCGATTTGCTATTCTTATGGCAGACTTTAATTATAGCACTGGAGTTTAATTTTCATTAATTTTAATTTACTTAGCCAATTGCATGGTTAGGCATCTGCATTAGAAGAGGCAGTGATACAAAGGAAATTGGGTCTTTTCATGTGCTTGGAGATTGCAGGCATTTTTCTTTTTGTTTCTTTATGCTAGCCCATTTAGGGCCTATGTTAAAAATTGTCAGTGATTTTCTCTGCTGGAAAATACTTGTTGCCTAATGTGCACTGCACAGGACCTGATGATGAGGATTTTCTCTTTCTAAATGGAAGGAAACCAGTTTTCAGCCATCGTTCTATTAGCAATATGGCTAAAAGACTTTTGTAAACTATAGCTATATTTATTCTTGAATTGTTATTTTAGTCCTTTTGAGAACAAAGCCCAAATACTTATTTTCTCCATGTTTTGTTATAATATGTGTTATAAAAACCTAACTTGGTGGTCTATAATGAGGGGGAGTTTCAATGTGCATATAAAATATTTACTATAAATTTTCTATTAAGCCTATTTTACCCCCGAAGTCTGTAAACACGAAATATATTTCATACAAGTGCTTTAGAAGGAAAAAAAGTGATGAAATTCCGTAGACAGAAACTTGAACACTGAAAACTACATCAGGTTATCAAAGGAAGATAGAGAAACGGATGGTTTGTGTCAAACATCACTATTTTGCTCTTCATTATGTGATGCCAAGGTTTTATTTGAATTGAATATTGATTTGCCTGATTAATCAACTTCACCAAAACAGATCTAGGACCGTTTACACTGTTGACCCACACATGAATCTAGAGCTGTGCTAGAACACAATAGTCATGATGTGGTGATACCAAATTACACAAAAAGATTTGTAGAATGGCTTTTGGATTGTAATGGATATTAGAAAACAACTACTGCTCTTTTCATTGGGGAATCATGGGTAATTTCAAGGAATTCCATATTTTTGGGAAAGATTGTTTGAAAAGCATAAGGTAATAGCAAGGAAATTCAGGATTAACATTTCATTATAATTTTTATGGTTGTATCTTTACTATTGTAGTTAATATACGAATTTCCATTATATATATTTCCATATAGTACAGGGGTGTCAAACTGGTGGCCCACGGACCGGAGGTGTCATGGTGAAACTGTGCCCACCCCATTGCCAGCAATGGAAAAAAAGTTGCGATATGTCGTGACACACCACGTGACGTTGCGAGTTTGACACCCCTGTACAAACTGTTGGTATTCAAACAAAATTGTTGGCAGGTTACAATACTTCCATAAAAGTTTTAAAATCAAATAATTAAATCAAGAATGAATAAAATCCAGAATCTTCCCCCATTTCTGGTAACAGCAATGGTCACATTACAGTGTTATTTAACATTGTATTGATCCTTTCTTATTTAATCTGTATTATGCAATGGTTCAGAGTTTACAATATTTCTTGATTTTCTTTGTTTATAAAAAAATGTCAGGATTTTATTTTTTTATCTGTTGAAATACAAGATTCTTTCCTGTACTTTATAGCATTCTTTCCTTCCCTCTTTTGGAGTTAACTTGTACAAGAGTTCTTCAAGGCAATACTAACTCCTGGTGACTTCATGGATAAATTCATGTAGTTTTCTTGGCAACAATACAAAGATTGTTGACCAATGTCTTCTTCTGGGTATTTTCTCATTTCCCAGTTAGGTGTTAAAGAACAAGCAAGTTGGCTAGTTGTTGCCTTCTGTTGTAAACTGCAACTCCTCAGTCACAAATATTATAACTGACTGGTTGTAAATATCATGAATCTTTCAGAAAAAGTAGCTCTGGTTACGTATGTTGACTCTATGAAACAGTTCATTGCTTAGATAATGTAGTACATCATGTCCTATAAATATCAAAGAACACTTTTGATTGTTTGAGGCACCTTCTAAAAAATTGAGACTCTAGAAAGAGTACAGAGAAGAGGAACAAAGATGATTAGGGGACTGGAGGCTAAAACATATAAGGAACGGTTGCTGGAATTGGGTATGTCTAGTTTAACAAAGAGAAGGGCAAGGGGGGACATGATAGCAGTATTCCAATATCTCAGGGGCTGCCATAAAGAAGAGGGAATTAAGCTATTTTCCAAAGCACTTGAAGGCAGGACAAGAAGCAACGGGTGGAAACTAATCAAGGAGAGAAGCAACCTAGAACTAAGGAGAAACTTCCTGACAGTGAGAACAATTAATCAGTGGAACAGCCTGCCTCCAGAAGCAGTAAATGCTCCAACACTGGAAGTTTTTAAGACGAGATTGGACAGCCATTTGTCTGAAATGGTGTAGGGTTTCCTGCCTGAGCAGGGGGTTGGACTAGATGACCTCCAAGGTCCCTTCCAACTTTACTACTATTACCAATTACCTGGATAGTTACTAAGGGTTCCCCAATGTTTTTAAGATTCTAGACCATTCTTGATTTGGGCAAGTAGAAATACCACGTTGCTTCTATATAATAAATGCAGTGCTAGGGATTAATTGGCTTTCCATTATGGAATTGACAGGACTGTGATTGTGACCCTTAACAAAGTATCTCTAGTCTATTACTTTCGGGTTTCTTTCCCTCTTTTGTTGTATGGAGATTGGGGAGTATTGCTGGGCATTTGTAGTACTCAAGGGCTGCAGAGGTACTATGGGTTTCTTGCACATTGTCACTTATTTATTCTGTTTTAGTGAATGGATTTTCCACAACCAGTCTCCTCTTCAAAAACCTCTAGATTCAGATGCATTTATATACAGTTTGGTTATACATGCATAATCTGATCAAGTTTATAACATGGTCTGATGGAATATATACCATGTTTTTCACAATACATGTATTTATCAACTGAAGTTATTTTGGGGTTCTAGAAAGAACTTTTTTTCTTAGAATTGACAATTTGTGTATATATGTACTTGCTATCTCTGCATCTCTGCAGTAAGAGCTACTATTATCAAAATCTTTGAAGAATGTGTGCTCTTCTATACATTAAATAAGAAAGCCACTTGACATAATAAACAGTTTAACTGAGCCTTAAATAATGTACAGACAGTTATATACTATGACTACTAAACATAGACATGGTAATAGAAAAAGAAAAAGCTAAAGGGCTCTGGAACTTTCGAATTGAAACAGACAAGCACCTGCCTCATAAAATCCCAGGCTAACCAATTGTCAGTAAGAAACATCTGGATAGTGGATGTGGCAATACCTGGAAACAGAAGAATAAAAGAGAAATAACTGGAGAAAATAGCAAATTACAAAGACCTGCAAATAGAAGTAGAATAACTGTGGAAACAGAAGCAAAAATAGCATCAGTAGTAATAGGTGTCTTGAGCACAACGCCGAAACACCTGGAGTACCACTTGAACACCATCGCCATTGACAAAATCACTGTCAGTCAGCTGCAAAAGGCAGCTTTACTTGTAGCAGCTTATATCCTGTGACAGAAGCTTTAACACCAACAAACAACATCTGCATATCTTAAGAAGGACTTGAAAGATGGATAAAAATGCTAATTCCAGACTAAACATCTGTCTGACTGAAGAATATTCTTAAGAATTATTATAAACACATGGCAAGGCCAAGTAATACATGGCCAGTAGATAAAAAAAATAGTAGGCAAAGCAGATAATAACATGATCTGGCAATGTCTAAGAGTAGGAAAATTGAAGAAAGACAAATCTGGTTGCACAGGGCCAAGTTTTAAAAACAAATGGATACAGAATAATAATTTAGAAGGCAGCGACAAAGAGCAAATCCTGCCTCTGCAAAGAAGCTGAAGAAACAGTGGGCCACCTTGTTAGTTATTGTAAGAAGATCTCACAGACTGACTACAAACAATGACACAACGAAGGAGCAACAATGATGCATTGGAAGATCTGTAAGAAATATCATTTACCTTTGTGCAAGAACTGATGGGACCATGAAATTGAGAAAGTCATAAAAATGAAGAAATTAAATTGCTGTGGGATTTTAGAATTGAAACCGACAGGTACCTGCAACATAACACCCCAGACTTAACAATTGTCAATAACAAAGTGAAAAAAAAGTCTGGATAGTGGACTTTGCAGTACCTGGGGAAAGCAGAATAGAAGAGAAAGAACTGGAGAAAAAAACAAAAAATACAATAAACTGCAAATAGAAATAGAACGACTATGGCAAAAGAAAGCAAAGGTAGTACCAATAGTAATAGGCAGCTTGGATGCAATCCCAAAACAGTTGGAGCACCACTTGAACACCATTGGCGTTGACAGATTCACCATCAGTCAATTGTAAAATACAACTTTATTCAGAACAGCTTGCCTTCTGCAATGATATCTCTAACACCATCAGACATTAACATCTGGCTATCCTAGGTCTTTGGGAAGAACTCAGTAGGTGAATAAAAATGTCAAATCCAGTCTAAACATCTGGTTGATTGTGCAACCAACCATAATAGATTATTAAACTTGTGTGCCCCTCAGCTCTTAACAATTCTGGGTGGCTCACAACAAAACATTACAATAAAATCATTAAAGACAAAATATGACAAGTACAACTGATGAAATAAACAAAGGGTCTTACTTTTCCTTGCCAAAGACCTGGGCCTTCCCAGGTCTTCTGAACAACAGCAGAGAGGGGGCCACCTGGATATCAGGGGGAAACCTCATTCCAGAAGGCAAGCAATGCTACAGAGAAGGCTTGCTTCCAAAATTCTGATATATGTCAAGACCCCCAGATTATGCACCAACCTTGTATGGCAAACAGTATTATGATATTTTACAATCAGTGGAGTTACTCTAGTATAATACCTCATTGCTTTATGCCTGCTGAACTGACTTTAAAGACTGGTAAAATTAATGAAAATTTTCTGATTTGCTTCGATGTGATATCTCTCTTGCTCTCTCTTTCATATTTTCTAATTGGAATCTTCTCGTCTTATCACAGTGTATAAATCTCCAGAATATGAATCCCTTGGATTTGACTTGACAGTTGAACGGTTAGTTTCAATTGGATATCCTCAAGAGATGCTTAGTTTTGTCTATGATCCTACATTCCCTACCAGGTAAATAATTGTAATTTAAAGTTGTATTTGTTCTGCACAGTTTAAGTGGTACTTTTAAACTTAAGGCGTTGTAGTTCATATATGGTAAACTGCATATGTATCTTGCAAATTTAAGTTTATTATCAGATAATGTGTCTTAAAATACAAATAAATAGAAGAGAACTGCAGAGCAAGTAGGCATAAATATTCCTTTAGACTAATGTTTTGCCATTTTATAAATATCAGGTTTAATTTATGAGAACTAAATGACTACTACTCACAACATTATTTGGGGATAATATTCATGGGTATTTCCTAAAGTGCTTTCTTGAGTGTATCTGGACTGCCACATTTTGCACATTTTTCTCAGAGCAATTCTTTGTGCTATGTTGCAGACTTCTGAAATTGTTCTGAACTTGGGGAAGAACTTAGTGGGACTGAAAGGAAATTCCAGAGCATCATGGTTGGCTACATGACAAGGATACTATAGTTCTGTAGTGGTTTTTGGCATTGAGCAAGAGTAGGATTAGATAATCTCGAAAGACCCTTACAATCCTTTATAGTATGTAATTTTGTGAAATGTTCCCTGAATCTTTCTAGCAGCATAGTTAGAACATATAGTGCATTTATTAAAAGTAGATAGTGAGGGAGAATATAAGCCTTTTTATAAAATGTATATTTTAAAAAGCCTCACATTTCGATACTTTTTATTAGGTTCACTTTGAGATGTTGTTTAATGGGGAAATATTCCCTGGTAAAAAATATGGTAGAAAAGTCTCTATAGTCCTCTAAACATGAGAATCAAGCCTTAATCATGTGAAAGTGAAAAAAAGAAAGACAAATCTATTTGTCCACATTGTTTTCCCCAGTGAATACTCATATTTTTCTAAGATGTGTCTGAAGATTGACAGTACAATATGGGCAAAGATTACAATCTTGACTCATGGTAAATCACTTACACCAGTGGCCCCCATCCTTTTGGGCACCAGGGACCAGTTCCATGGAGGGTAGTTTTTCCATGGATCAGGGTATGTGTGTTTTCGCACTCCCTAGATCCCACATGTGCATGGATGGTGTTTCATTCACTTGTGCAGTCCAGTTTCTGGCAGGATTGGGGATCCCTGACTCACACCACTCCTACACTATTTATATGTCTACTTGCATTTGGTCAAGCCATGTACTTCTGCTGTTGGCATCAGACTAAACAATCGTGATTCAAATCAGCAGTATGCATTTAGTTTTTAAGCTTATATCCAAATGTACTTGGATTTCTCCTTACTGATTACAGAATTAAAATTGTAACTGTTGCAATTCATTTTAATTTCTTAGTTTGATTGTTGTGAGCTGCTCCGAGGTGTTGAACGGCAGTATTCAATTTTAATAAATTATTATTATTATTAGGTCTGATTATTAACTCATTCTCTCAGACCTGGGGACAAATTACACATTGCAGAAAATAAGCTCCGCTCTACTTTCTTGAATCACATTTTCATCTTTCTCTCAATATTGTTGACTTGACATAAAAATTAAACTCTTTATACCTTGAACATTCTATGCCTATCTTTCTACAGCAACTATTGATGTAGAGCTGGGTCTGAAAAATGCACTATAGGATAATGTCACATCATGGGTAAGGAAAAACCATGACACATTAATGGGAAGGAAAGAAGCCCACAGAGCACAATAAATGAATTGGCAATGAAGCCAGAGAAAAAAGAATAGGCAATCTGAAGTCTTAATTTGCAGCCACACCCAATATAGCAGTTTACATTTTTCAAATATCTAGCCTTTTTTTCAAACATTGTTCAGCCAATTGAGACTACTTCGATAGCAGAATGTAACAGAGAGATAAATGGGGGGGCAGATAATTATCAACAGAGGAAGCATTATACATCCTTCAGCTGTATACCTCATTAATTGTCTAAAGTCAATATTTTGTCTTTCTATGTAAGTAGGACACTGTTGCACTGAAACATACAAAGTTCATAGTTATGGGTACTTTGACTTTATAACTTGTTCTAATCAAAACCCTCCTGTAATCTGCTAGCATCTAATATTTCATTGAAGATTTTAGAGTTTATACAACACTTAAATGTGTATTGCATCCATATGCACATCATATTTAAGCATGCTTTAGGAAGTTGTAGAAAAACTTCAGTAAATGTTGGCTGACATGGTCACTCCTATTCTTCTGGATGGCCAGATATTAGCATAGGCCAGGAGTAGGCAGCCTTGGCTCTTTTATGATTCATGGACTTCAACTCCCAGAATTCCTGAGCCAGCCATGGGAGTTTAAGTCCATGAGTCATAAAAGAGCCAAGGTTGCCTACCCCTGGCATAGGCCATAGGGTGTGGCAAATTTTGTTTAATAGTAGGTATGGTTAGCTTCAAATAAACCAAATTTTAAAGAACTGGTTTTCAACCTGGCTTGTTAAAACTAATAAAAATGTTAACCACAGTTTTGGGTTAAGATTAGCAAACTGTAGTGAAATTCTGAGAAGTAAATGGTACCAAAATTGTTCTGCCAAAGTACCTTGCTGTTAAGATAAATGAACTAATTATAAGCAAATAGATTAATTGTACATTTAAACCAGGCAATGCAGACTATTTTTATCTCTGCAGCTAAACAAAAGTTCAATGGGACTCTATCATCAGTGTCCTCCTTAGGGTCAGATTCTAATTTGGACAGAACGTGATAGAACTGGCTCAGGTATGCCATTACAACAGACTATCTTTCAAAGTCTTGCTGTTCATCGTTGCTCATTATGAAATGCTGACATGCACACTTGCATTTCTTTCTTTTTTTAATAGAGGCCTGGTATTTGATTCTCTTTATGGAAACCTGTTAAAAGTTGATGCCTATGGGAACATCCTAGTGTGTGCACATGGCTTTAACTTTATGAGAGGGTAAGTGATGCAAATATTGGTGATCTCTTAAGATTGTCTGCAGTCCTTATGCACAGCTGGGATATATTCTGTTGCACGTGGCACAGAGTCTCTTAGTGACTTTCAGGTTTGTTGGCTTCTGTCAGAAATTATCTAACTTTAACATTATCTTATTCTTGGTTTTTTTCCCTATAGATAGATTGGTAAACCAATATAATATTTGGTGATCTTGTAATCAATAAGTATGGTTTCAAAAAATCCAGTTTATACTTTGTATAAAAAAGCAGTACATGGATAAAAGATTAGATGTCACCTTCAAGAAATCATATCATCTACTCAGGGCTCAGGGTTTTCTTGGAAATTTTAAGAGATAACTTGGCTTTCTCATAGGTCTTGTTGACTCTTAATTGAACCTTTTAATATACAATAGAGGAAATTGCTTTGATTTGGCATCATTAACTACCATATTCTTTTGTCCTTTATATTCCTCAGGCCAGAAATACGAGAACAGTATCCTAATAAATTCATTCAGAGAGATGATACTGACAGGTTTCACATTTTAAACACACTGTTCAACTTACCAGGTAAGAATTGAGAGGGGGAATTACACAGTCCAGATCAGTAGGTACATTGCTATTCAGTTTAAAGGAACACTGTTATGAATATCTTCTGGATTTAGCTTAATTACATGTATGTCTATTTGACTAATCGTTCATTTTAAGATCTGGTCTTGCCTTGGTTTTGCTTTCTTGCAGAGACATATCTGTTGGCTTGTCTGATTGATTTCTTTACTAACTGTGACAGATATGTAAGGTGAGTATTGTCTTGGCTATATGAAATCAACGAGACCATGTTGTAGCCAGCTTTTCCAATGCAAGTGTATAAAAATACAGCATAGTGAAGTTATTTCAGAATAAATGAAAATATTTAAGGGATCGTTTAAACAAAATATTGTGATTTAACTTTCAGTAAGATAACAGGGTTTCCTCATTCACTAGACAAAATAATTCACTTTGAATTGGTGAAGATAGTAATTGAATAGGTGGATAATGCATAATATCTATTCATATGTAAACAAAAATCTAGGGGGAAGAGATGGGAAACTGTGTTTTCAGTTTGTACCTAAGGACACTGATGTCATTTTTAATTACCTAACATTTTTCAAGCCTCATGCAATTTTCTACATGGCTGTTTTATTCCATTTTCTCTCAGCTGTGAAACAGGATTTAAAGAGGGAGATCTTTTCATGTCCTTCAGGAGTATGTTCCAGGATGTGAGAGATGCTGTGGACTGGGTTCATTATAAGGTAACCTGCATCTTGGGGACATTTAGATTATCTCTTTAATTCAAACACTGTTTCTAAATTTTGAATTATGGTATCATTTCAATAATTTTAATTTTTTCCCCTGATTAATAAATACTAAACACTAGTAGTATTCCAGCAAGATACAGAATGTTGTACAGCAACAACATGTGATACAGAATGAATTACTTTTTACTCTTCCTCCATTCTCCTCTTAATTTAGTCCTTCTGTTTCTTCCTTGTCTCATGAGATTAGTAGCTGTAACCCATCATAGAAACAGCTGCTAGTCCTCTTGCACTCTTTATATTCATTTTCTCTCTACCCTATTCTGCAGTTTATATATAGTTCCTTAGTGGCCTGTCATCCAGAACTGAGGATAGCTCCACCCTGTAGCTTTAAACTATCATTTGACTTCAGACTATTTAGTTTTAGAACAGAAATTATGTTCCATCATTTGAATGGCACTTTGACTCATATTTCATTCTTATGTCATAAATGACCCTTAGAGTTATACAATGAAATCATCAGGACTAATCTCTTGACATATGAAACTCTGCAAAGAACTTTCTGTCTTTAGTGTTACTTGAACATCTTTCTACAACATGTCAGCACAGAAGATTGTACTAATATGAAACCCAAGATACCTATTAGATCATTGCTTCTGCTGCCGTAAGATTTTTTTCCCCTGTTGTTCCAGGGCTCACTTAAGGAGAAGACAGTTGAGAATCTATACAAGTATGTAGTGAAAGATGTAAGTATTCAAAAACTTGTTTTAAGAAAAGATAGATGGTGATTTATTTTGCTAATTCTTAATTGGTCTTACTACTCATTCACTTAAAATAATGGATGAAAAACAGGAAGTCCACCAAACCAGAACAATTTTATCTGGAAACTTCAGATGACATAATTGCTCCAATAAATGTTGTCTTTATTGATGGAGGTAGTGTAATACTTCCTTTATCTCTTATTAAATGGAATTAATATTTATTTATTTTATTTATTTATTTATTTATGAGACTTATATACCACTTTAAGTGCAAGCACTCTCTAAGCGGTGTACACCAGTAAGCAATGTATATATATATTTACATTGCCCCCAACAATCTGGGTCCTCATTTTACCTACCTCGGAAGGATGGAAGGCTGAGTCAACTTTGAGCCGGTGAGATTTGAACCGCTGACCTGCTGAACACAGTCAGCTAAAGTGGCCTGCAGTACTGCACTCTAACTGCTGCGCCATTTTTTTATTTTTTTATCTTTCAAAGATGGACATGTGATGCAAGGTAATAATTGTGGCTCCCACCATTATTTACTCTGGGCAAAAGTTCAAATTAAACTCCAACATGTAAAATGACAGATGATTCATCAGCAAAGCAGTACTGGTCAAAACTGGCTGAACTGGGATTAAAAAGAATTTTAAACAACATTAGGAAACTGGTTTTCGATCTTGACATTGTCTGATGAAGTGGACATGGAAGAAAAACAAGTCTCTGAAACTCTCTACACCCATGCCAAAAGCATGTGCCTGACTATTTGACACCAAACCCAAGTATGGAACTTGGATGAATGCCTAGAATTGGTAGACCAACATAGGTCAAGTTGGCAGACAATACATGATACAGGTGGCTCAGATCTGAAGTTTGCCATCAGCTAAAGGCAGAGCAAGAGGCTGGAACACCCTGGCTCTGGAATTGGAAGAAGCAGCACATAAACACAAGCACCACACACTCTTTGCCGTTCTCAGACCACTAAGTGAAAAGACAGATTCACATAACTCAAAGAAGTTCCCATTAAATGAAAATTAGTGATGATAATCCCTTTTTGAAATCATCCAACCCCAATTCTAGAAATAGCAGGAACAACTAGAGAATAGCACACTGATCAGATTTCACCATCAGACAACTGTTAGAAGAAAAAATTTACTGTGGCCTATGAATGCCCATTGTATTCATTGATTTTCAAGCAGCCTTCAACAGTGTATACTAATCACTTTTATGGATAGCACTGAAAACTGAACACATACTCCCCCAAAGGGAAATGCTTATAGCATTTATAGGTAACTTATAGCAAACGCACTGGCTGGGTGCACATCCAAAATGGATATTTCAGAATTCGCAATTTGAATTAGTATTAAAAAAATGTTTGATGTAGTACAAGTAGTCTTCAACTTATGACTATAATGGAGCCTGCTCATCACAATCATAAAAATGGGTCAGTCACATTTTTTGTGGCAGTGAGTGAATTATTAAGTGAATACGGTGGTTGTAAAATGGCTGCTGTGATTGCTAAATGAATACTGCAATCATTAATTGAACCAGTGCTTCACTATGGATGCGGCATTGCCAAAAATTGGAAGTAAATGCTGTTTTGGAGAGGGAGAGAGAAACACCATAAAACACAGTCATGTGACTGCAAGGCCCTGCAAACAGCTGCAAATGCAACTTGATTGGCCAGTGCTTGAAATTTGATCACGTGAAAATGGGGTGAGTGACTGTTGGAACTTCAAATCTAGATCATAGATAGCGCCCCCTCCTGGTAGGCCAGTTATTTCTTAGGGTCACTAAGCGATAGTTGTGAGTCAAGGATTATCTGTATGATGAAACCCATTACCTAAATATTGATCTATTGATGACAGTGCCATAATTGCAGAGGCCATAGACATCTTGTATAACTTCATAAAAACTGCCAATTGATATGGCTTGAAAAGCAATGCTGACAAAAGAAAGGTTTTGACAACTGATAAGCCACAGTCTTCTGTCCATCTCAATGGAGTCCAAATGGAGCAAGTTAACTATTTACGATGGAAAAGAGAGAATAGTATCAAAAGCAGCAGAGTAGGATTGGCCGGGCCACTGCTCTGTTTGGATTGTTAAATTGTTGTTGTTATACAGATCTGATACATAGGCACCATAATAAGCACGTCTAAACAAACTTGATGTTTACATGATTTTCTCAAGAATGAAACATCATTTCCAACTTACAATTGAGAATGAAATACAAACATGCATTGGGAAGGTATGCAGAATAGTAGAACTATGCCTTCCTTATAGACAATGGTAGAGAAAGTGACCTGCATGGTGGAATAGCACCAGAAAAAATATGGGTGAAGTGACAATCTGAAAAGCCTAATTTTCAACTAAAACAGCTATAAGAGATGGCTATAGCCCAGCAGCATCCATATCAATGCACTGGTTCCAAGGTTAGCCCTGCCCAGACATTTACTAAGGGAAAAAAGAAGACGAAATGGAACTTAAATTAATTCTATTAAAGAAACTTTGTTCTCTCCTGCTACCAAAAATGTCAGGAAAGTAGCGAGAGAGACATCACAATGAAGACGCAGGAAACTTTCCAAGATATCAGTCCAGCCTTAGGTGTTGAATTCAGTGGTGGCAGTAGCATTTGGGGCTCAGGATCTGGCCTGACATCCTCCACTCTCTGACATCCTCCACTCTCTGAACTTGATAATTCCACAAAGGTGGGTCCGTTCTTTTGGGCTTCTCTTCATCAAAAGAAGAGGTATTCAGTGCATCCCCATTCATGACACTAACTCTTGTTTCTTCCTATAAAATCTGTTTAGCAGCTGTTTCCATAATATATTGAAATGCCATTTTTTTCACATGTTATTCAATGATGTATGAGAAGTTGCTCCATTCTACAAAATCCAACTTTAACTGTAACTATCCTCTTGTACGGAATTTAACATGAGTAAAGATGCACTAACCAAAGCTGCCCTTTATGCTGTCATATTGAATCAACTATATTATATGTTCGGAACGCGGCATGAGATTCAGTACCACATAGTTAAGATGTGTAACATTTTAGAAGATATTTTAAGCAGATTGAAATATGTTATTTGGCATTATTCAGAACAGAAGGATGCATGGTGCTATTTCAGCTAGGTCATGTGAAGTACCCCAAAATAAATTTTAACTTAAATGTTTGAGAATTAGTTTTATGTCAATGTTTGTCATTTTAGGGAAAGCTTCCACTGCTGCTGAGTCGCATGAATGAGGTGGGAAAGGTGTTTCTTGTCACAAACAGCGATTATAAATATACTGATGTAAGTAAAATTTTATGAAGTGTTCCAGTAAGTTATGTATCTTTCATTTGATAATAAAGGAGACTTTAAACACAGACAAAAAATCAAATTCAAATTATGAATTTGAAATCTTGGACTCTTCTCCAGGTTTGATTACTGATCTAAAACTTAGTGTGCATATAAATACTTTCTAAAAGTTTCTGTAATATATTTAGTACAAAATGCAAGGATTCTTTTCTATTAATTTCAGTAACATTTAACACGTCATGGTGAGACATATTCAAATGGTCAGTTTTCTTCTGGGAATTATATTTCAGCTTTGCCCAATAAATCTTTTAAGTTTGAATGCAATATCCATTCTCATCCATTGAGACTGAAAATTTATACTTCAGTCCAAAGAATATATGTTAGAAACCAATTGTATCTGAATTTAATTCCATGTTAAATGAGTATCAGGCTTGCAAAGTCAAGAGAGATGTGGAATTTTTCAGTTCTGGGGTTCTCTTTGCAAATAGATAAATAATAATAATAATAATAAAGTTGGAAGGGACCTTGGAGGTCATCGAGTCCAACCCCATGCTCAGGCTTTCAGGAAACCCTACACCATTTCGGACAAATGGCTGTCCAATCTCTTTTTAAAAACTTCCAATGTTGGAGCATTCACCGCTTCTGGAGGCAGGCTGTTCCATTGGTTAATTGTTCTAACTGTCAGGAAGATTCTCCTTAGTTCTAGGTTGCTTCTCTCCTTGATTAGTTTCCATCCGTTACTTCTTGTCCTGCCTTCAGGCGCTTTGGAGAATAGCTTGACTCCCTCTTCTTTGTGGCAGCCCCTGAGATACTGGAACACTGCTATCATGTCACCCCTCATCCTTCTCTTCATTAAACTAGACATACCCAATTCCAGCAACCGTTCCTTATATGTTTTAGCCTCCAGTCCCCTACTCATCTTTGTTGCTCTTCTCTGTACTCTTTCTAGAGTCTCAGCATCTTTTTTACACCGTGGTGACCAAAACTGGATGCAGTATTCCAAATGTGGCCTTACCAAGGCATTGTGAAGTGGTATTAATACTTCATGTGATCTTAATTCTATCCCTCTGTTAATGCAGCCCAGCACTGTGTTGGTTTTTTTGGCAGCTGCAGCATACTGCTGGCTCATATTTAAGTGATGTCCACTAGGACTCCAAGATCCCTCTCACAGTTACTACTATTGAGCAAGATACCCCCTATACTATACCTGTACATTTGTTTTTTCTTGTCTAAACGTAGAACCTTACTTGTTTCACCATTGAATTTCATTTTGTTAGATAGCGTCCAGTGTTCAAGTCTGTCCAGGTCCTTAAGCCTGGAGTGTTGACTATTCCTGCCAGCTTGATTTCATTTCATTTCAAATTTGATGAGTTCCCCATCTACCCCCTCGTCCAAATCGTTGATGAAGATGTTGGAGCACTGGGCCTAGAACAGAGCCCTTCCCTCCATGTAGATGCAGTTCCATTGAGGACCACATGCTGAGTATGGCCAGTCAGCCAACTACGAATCCATCTGGTGGTGATGCTGTCTAACCCACATTTTTCTATCTTATTGAGTAGTAGGTTGTGATCTACTTTATGAAATACCTTACTGAAGTCCAAGTAAATTATATCCACAGCATTCCTTTGATCCACTAATTTTGTCACTTGGTCAAAGAATGCAATAAGATTTGTCTGGCATGATCTGTTTTTGACAAACTCATGTTGGCTTTTAGTGATTTTGTTTGCCCCAAGGTGTTCGCTGATTCGTTGTTTGATTATCTTTTCCAGAATCATCCCAGGTATTGAGGTCAGGCTGATAGGTCTGTAATTTCCTGGATCCATTTTTTTTCCTTTTTTGAAGATGGGAACTATATCAGCTTTTTTCCAGTCCTCTGGTAGTTCCCCAGTGCTCCAAGATCTTTGAAAAATATAGTTCAGTGGTTCTGAGATCACATCTGCCAGTTCCTTGAGAACCTTGGGGTGTAATCCATCTGGTTCTGGTGATTTGAACTCGTCTAGGCTGGACAGGTGCTCACTTATCATTTTCTTGCCTATCTTAACTTGTGTTTCTATACTGTTTTTTATGGCACTATTTTTGATAGGTTGGTCTGCTTTTTCCCTTTGTGTAAAGACAGATGCAAAAAATGCGTTAAATAATTCTTTGATTACAGGTAAAGTTGCTTTCTGGCATCCATAGTAGTTTAACTTGCTATACTTGTTCACTGCTGTGCTTTTTGTACCCTACCTTTTTCTGTACATCCATTTCTTTGCTTTGGTTTATCATCATAGGAAACTTCTTCTATTTTTCCATTATGCCCTATGGCCAGGTAGGTGATATTTTAGTTCCCTCTAGTGTCCAGTTTTTAAAATTTTATCTTACTTATGTAAGATAAGACAACTTACATATTTGAAGCTAGTTATAATTTTTTGCTGAAACTGACCGGATTTAAGTGTTGCTTCAGTCAAAAATGAGTGAATGGGAAATATTCCCTCTAATTTCAGTACTGAAACTATGTGTTACATTTTGTTTTTTCTCTATCTTTCAGAAAATTATGACATATTTGTTTGATTTTCCACATGGACCAAAGGTAGGTGCAAAGAGATACGTTATTCTATTGTTGACAGTATTTATTATCTATTCCTGAATAATTCAGGAATAGAATTCAGTTTTGGTACTGGAAATATACGGCAGCTATTTATTAAATTCAGATTGAAAAAGCATTGTGTTAGTTGCCCTAGATTTGTTGTTATGGGTCAGGCGGAAAATAAGTCTGATGCATTTTCATATGCCAAATAAGGCAGTTTTTTTGAAGTTAAATAATAGTAACTGCTGCTGAATTTTTTAGTTGTGTTTTAATCAGTAGCACTTCCTCTTAATGTTAGTTGTATACTTATTTGCATTTCTGTTGTACAAACAGCTTAGATAAAAGGAGTAATTGCATATTTTGGATTAACAGATACACAATTAATAGTGCCAATTATATGTTGAATATATAAGATATGAGAGCCTTAGGCAAAGAACACTTGTACTTAGGATTTATATTTCTGATATTATCATGTAGCTGAATTAACTAATCACTGGAAAACATAGGAAACTTGAATTCTCTAGATGATATTTTCTTAGTATGTTGTCAAGCACCATAATTAAACAATGGTAATAGTTGCAGTATCAGACTAGATGTAGTACAGAATACAGTTAGTGGTGTCTGCTGCAGAACTAGCGTTAGCCAATACCTATATGAATTATTAATATTTGTTTACTTGAACTTTAAATAAGATATGCTTTTGATTGATTTTTTTTTAATGTAGCCAGGTAGCTCTCATCGACTGTGGCAGTCTTATTTTGATCTCATCCTTGTGGATGCACGCAAGCCTCTTTTTTTTGGAGAAGGCACAGTCCTGAGGCAGGTGGACACAGTAAGTCTACATGGAATACATGGTTAAGACTCATCTGGAAGAGGAGACAATATTCCTATTTTGCTAAGTAGAATACGGGTGTGGACCTCATAGTATAATTTCTCCCCTTTTAAAAATAATTGCATATTTGCCCTTAATTGTATTTATGACATCCGGTTTTGGGTTAGTCCTGTCTTATCATGAAATCTGCTGGGTGACCTTGGGCCAGTCATGTTTTCTCAGCCCACGGAAACAGACAATGGCAAGTCACTATTGAAATCTTGCCAGAAAAATGCAGGGATTAGTTGAGGCATCACCAGGAGTCAAAACTGATTCAATAATGTTTTTAAAAAATAACCCCACAACTGTATTTATAACAAATTTGGGGTCAGTTGGTTTGACTAAAAAAACACAGCATACTTTTCAAATAGATCTTTAAATATTCTTGTAGGCTGTGCTGTCTTTCTGCTATTACAGTTTAGGAATCCTTATTTTATTGAAATCAGTTCCACTGCAATTGCAACTACCTCATTTGTCACAGTACATGTCGAAGCCAAATCTGTGCAGGAGGTAATTTGGTGTAGGAGGAATAGGTTGTGATCACCATTTGTACTATACCATTTGGCAGTATAGGTTTGTGCTATTCTCACTAGTGTTTTCCTGGAGTCATTTTTAGTTTATGGAATACTTGCCGTTGCAGAGGTGATTTAATTGTTTTTAAATAAGGCTGAGGCAAGAGTAGGAGATAGTCAAAAAGTGCTGATAATATAT